AAAATCGTCCAACTGACTTATTAAAATTTCTCATGTTATGTGAGTTGACTTTACATTTTAAGAGCAATTACATTTCACGTGAAGCACAAAAGAATTGAATTTTTTTTTAATTTACTTACAGTTTAAATGAAAAAGATTATCACGTGAACATGGCTGAAACCATATTATATAATGAAGCAGCTCAATAATTGTTACTACGAAATGATATATGTCTGCTTTTTCATTACCTTTACAACAACTAAAGCCATATCTATAATCTTTAGTACGATATTTGTCCCACCAATTAAAAAGCAACTCAACTTTCAAAGTTTTTCGTTGACAATTTAGCAATGTATATAAATATATTATCGCATTTTGAATTCACTGATTTTATAAGTTCGTATTAATCATGAAATTTATTAATTTTCAAAATTTTTACGTGTAAGGTTGCATTGATATAGCAAAAGATAAGAAGTATTTGATCAGTATCACTCTTGTTTAGAAATATCTTTTTGAGAAATTGATTCAACTATAAAAAGAACCGCTCAATTTACTAAATTTTCATTAAATATAATTTTATCTTGCATTTTTTGCAAAAATTCCTGGTTTCATATATACCCTAAAATATGTTCACATAGCTTTTAGAAATTAAGGCAGAAACTAATACTAAGTTGTTCATCAAAATAGCTATCATTAGTATAACATTGTTGAACATTTTGGATTTATATTCCTCTAGTTTTTAATGTTTTATTTGTTAGAACGGACCATATAAGAACAGATATTAAATTTAGAGTCTAATATTGTACCTAAAGGTATATTTACACAATTTTTTTAACATAAGCGTGAAAACAAATAAATATCTAAACACGTATGCTTAATTTGATTTTTTTTCACAAGCCAAACATGTGACGATGAAATTTCAAACACAGGATCTTATAGATTCTCATGATAGATTTTTGTAACAATGTGAGTTAAATATATATTCTGTCTGAACATAGACTAGCAACACTAATTTTGAAAAATTGATCAGTTTCATTTCACTCGTGTTATGAGCATTTAATAGTATATTATAAAAAAACACCAGAGTCTAAATTACTATGCGATTCTTCTACAGAATCGACAAAAGAATTAAAATAAAGAAATGCGCAAAAGATATTTGAGGACAATTGTTGAATTAGATGGAAATTATTCATATAATAGTCCAAAGCAAACTGAAAAAAAATGTGTAATTGATCTTTTGGAATTATTTAATAGAAAATCGTCAAATGCCTCCAAAACTAACAATATTCTATTACCCAATTTCGTACACACCTATACTTAACGCTTATTACCCTCTGACTTACTTTAAAATGGATGAGTATAATTTTATTTTGAATTGTAATAAAAATTTCCTTCTCACTCTTTTGAATCTCATGATTTGCTTCAGGGAAAGAGGCCAGTCCCCTGAAAAAGCCAATCTTCATCGATATCATTCAACTACGAATGTAGGCCTGATTAAAGCATAAAAACGATATAATAATAATAAGAGGTTTTTATCCGTTGATGGTCATCTTACCTTATGTGTTTACTTAGTTAATTTTTAAGTGACTATGCTTGCATAACATAAATATCAATTTAGTTGGAGTTAAAATATGTTTATTTATTATATTATATACATTGTGTAGAAATATATTTTATTGCAAACGATATATATAGTCACACACATACATAATTAAGCTTTTTAATTAGAGCTTGTAAGACTGAAGTACAGCTTCAAAATCTCCATGGTTTGTTGCATAGGTGTGCAAGAACTCTTTGTACTGATATGGCTTGTATGCTGGAATATTTGTTGTTCCATTAACCAAATCACTTGCAGGTTCAATGTGACAATCTGAAGAAGGAATCACAAAATTACCAACACAAATTCGAGTTTCTTTTGAATTTGTCACTGCTCGATGAATCACACTTTTTAGCTTATTGTTACTGATAATCTGGAAAATAAGACAAGTTATCGATCTACAGTTAGAAATAAATTTAAAAGCTAACGATACCAACGTATATAATAACTTGAATATTTACCTGTAATTGACAACCAATGATGACCACAAATGCATTAGGAATTGGTTCCACAGCAATCCATTTTCCATCCTTGAAAATTTGTAAGCCACAAACATTGTCTTGAAGCAAAATTGTGAACAAATTTGGGTCACAATGGCTATGCATTCCAAGTGCCAAATTTGGATCAGGACATGGAGGATAACAGTTCACTAATAGCATTTGAACTTTGCTTAATTCACCTCCAAAATACCCCTTTTCAAGTCCTAATCCTTCACTAATCACATCTGAAATCTTTGTGATTAGCTTCCTTGTTTCAATTGAATATGCACTAATCACTTCTCTGGAATTTGTTTTTAGGAAACAAATTAGGTATAATGGAAAAAATTACACTATATTAATTGTCACATAAAATTGGTCAATCAAAAAAAACTAGGTGAAATTTGTCCCTCTATTTGAACTATTGCTTTAAAATTACCCTATGTTTATGTTATCTCGTGTCACCAAGGGTTGTGATAGGGCAAATAAAATTCATTGGAGCTCTTATTTGACACGAATCTAGATTAGTTGGAGCCCCAAAAGAGGCAACATTAATATGTAATTTTAAACTGTAATCTAAGGTAAAGAGACCATAAACTTTGACCTTTATTTCACACGACCAAAAAAAAAAAAAAGAGGATAGAGGAAATTACCGATAACGAGTTGGTTTTTCTGGCCAAAAAGGCAAGAAATGTTGAATAGGATGACAATGATGTGCTAAAGCATCTCTCCAATAATGTTTATCTTCATTGGAGTAATTCATAGTGCTTGTGTAGAGTTTGCATTTGCTATTTGGGTCAACTGAGTAGTACTTTGCTTTCTCTTTAGCTGGCATCTCAAAAAATTCTTTCAACACATCTACTGTCTCTTCCAATAATGTTTCTGAAATCCCATGGTTGATTACCTGTTTTTCACAAAATCAAATTAAATGTTGTTATATAAGTAACATTTACGATATCAGTATAATTTAACTCGAGAGAAAGATCGAAGAGAGGAAATTATAAAACCTGAAAATAGCCAAAATCCTGACTGGCTTTAATTATTTGTTGAGCTTGGTCATGTTGATGAGTAGTCAAGTCTATAATTGGACTGCTACCACTTAAAGGAACAATAGGTTCTCCAGGTCTTTCATCTTCTGGGAATATGTAACTTTCAGGCAAAGTTTGTACATTTTTGCACCAGTTTGACACTAAATTATTTTCCATTGGATCAATCAGATATTGTTGTACCTACACTTTCTAATAGTTCACATAAGTCTATGATCATATTTATTCGATTATTAAAGGATTTGATGTTTGGATTTTTCTAGCCAAATTGCTTTATTTCAATTAATAAAAAATTAATGCTGTTGAAACGAATCAGATTCCATTACAAGGAATACACAACAAGTTTGTTTCTACTTGCCACCCCAATAATTTTTTTCTTATTTTTTTTGTCAAGCGAGACATATTATTTATTAAATCCATGACGTACACCTAGCCCACTCATCACTCGTTGTGGTCTTTACCACTAGGCCAAAGCCTCTGAAGGTCGGAGAAATATTAAAAAAGGATATATAGTACTGATTCATTCCCAGATCAAGAAAATCTAGTAATTACGGTCTCACAATTAAGGTGCTAAGCTATATGTGAAGCCAAATTGTGTCAATAGTATCCGTCCATCTCTGCAAGGTTTCTGAAAGTAAGTCCAGCAGGATTTTTCTGACCTTGGTCATATTTTCCTTTCTGCAAGCAAGAGCCTTGGCAGTCATATCGTCATGAATATTCATAATTTAGTCTACTAAAAGAGGGGTCTGACTCGCTCACCTCTAACGGATACATATCAGTCACTTCTAGTCATATGATCAAATGAGATGACGGATAGGGCGAAGTATGTATGTATGACAGTATCATCTGGCCATTCTGGTGTCAAGAGACCAAAGTCAAGATAAAAGATCTCAGTCTCAATTGTTTTAGTTTCTACTATAAGAATCCTCACTACTCCTAGTACTCTAAGCTAGCGTTTGGTCATAGATTCTCAAATATTTTTGGTAAATATTATTTGAGTGAAAATTTGTGTACCATGTGTTTGGCCATAAAATTTGGGAAATATATTTCACCTTTTTAGAAAAATATGATTTATACACACAAGTTTTAAAAACTATCAAAACTAACTAAAAGTTTGTATTACAAGTCAATTGAATGTTAGTTACAACAATAACAAATAATGTCCATGACACTGAAGCAATGTGGTAATTTGGAGTGAGTGCAACAAGAATTATTCCATACATCGTGAAGTAGATAAAGTACATGACTTCGTTACCTAAAACCAATTTTTAATAATTTTCATCAACAATCATATCATTATTTAATATTCACTAAATATTTCATCACTATTTTGGTGTTCACGTAAAAAATGATGTAATACAACGCAAGCAAATACTAGAGAGGGTGTTTTTGTAAGATTGGGATAAAATTTTAATTTTTAAAATATCCCAAATAATGATATTTGGCCCAAATACTAGAAAAAACTAGTATTTGGAAATTTGAGATATTTGCCAAATAATGACAAATTGTATGGACAAACATTATTTGCCAAATTTTTTCCAAATATTATTTGGAAATTTATGGCCAAACGGGCCCTAAATAAACTCATCTCAAATTATACCTAGTGTTCGGAAAATCACACGATGACAATAAAAAGTACCACTCCTGAAAACATAGGAACTAGTGTATGCTATGTAAAATTCAAATTTGCTTGGGTCAAATTCGTTCTAATGCTAAAACAAAAGGCAGCCCGATAAAGTCTTCACTCCCTGCAAATCTACGATTTGAACATTGTCATATCTGGAAGAGGAGTGAATTAAGGGTAAATGAAGAATCTTTAATTTTAAACATATCATTATATAATTGAAAATTTCTCTAAAACATATTTAAATACGTTATTAATATTAAACGAGAAATTACAAAATGAAATAGGTTTTTCTTATTAGCTATGTGATTTAGTCGAGTGTTCCAACCTTCATTATTCGAGTTTTGAATACCAATTTTTGACGATCCGCCCCAATTTGCTGCACCCAGTGCAGCGTCGAAACTCCACCGCCTATGATTCTCAATTATATATATATATAAAAAAAATTACTCTCATATTCTTACAAACAATTTTATTCCATTCTAGAGTACAAAGATATCTTCTTTTTCTTCATTCTCGCACTTTTGGGTGAGGCTGTTATTGTGGGTGCATTGAAATTGATGGCTAATCGATCTCTGAAGCGTTTTCTCAACAACATAGGTCAGTTTAACTACCCCTTATGTTCCCAATTTTTGTTTTTCTTTGGGTTTCTGAAGTTTAGCTCTCTGCATTTCTTCCTCTCCAAAACCTAACATCTAATGGCAGCTGCGTCAATTTATGGGATTGAGCATGACTAGAAAAAAAAATCTTTTTTTGGTTCATTTTCTGCATTCTATGATCTTCGACAGATGAAATAGAGCTGAAGATATATAGGGTTCACATATCTGACACTAGCTACAGGTAGTGGTGTAATTATTGATTGATTACTTGTTTGGTTGATAAATCAGCTGATAAAGGTATTGGGGAAGAAAGACAGTTGGGAGTTCGTCCCAACACACTTTGCCCAGTGCAATTTACCTCTTCTGTGTGGTTTGCGACCAGATAACAACAATATACCCAGTGTAATCTCACAAAGTGGGGTTTAGGGAGGGTAGTGTGTATGTAGACCTTACTTCTACAAGGTAGAGAGGCTGTTTCGGATAGAATGGGTACCCCTGTTAACCAAAACAAAATGAATTACGGAAAAAAGATTGACATTTCTACTGTTATGCATAAGAATAAAATCCACGGTCCGAAGCAAAATTTTGATTAGATACATATCTGCCTTTTTTTTTCCATCGTTAGAAACAGAAAATTACACTTATATAGTATGTACACAGTTGAATGGGGAGGCTTGTGGGTAAGTGAAAAGGTTACAGAAGTGAAAACTAGTTAGATGTGCTGGATAAATGATCTGTTGGTATTTTATTGTTTGTTCCATTAATTTAAAATATCTAATCTTTCGAATCATTTTAAAGATAATTGTAATTGTATCTGGCAGAATTCAGTAGTGGTATCTCAAGGAAACATGTCTCCAACCAGAGATCTGTCTACAACATTCTTAACCGGTGCCAGTCAAATTATTCAAACACAGATGGTCATAAGCCTGAAGAGAAGAGCATAAGCAATGGTCGAGAGCGCAGTAAATATGATATTGATGATGGCGATTTTCATGATAATAAGTGGAAACTTGAGCTTGATTGGCTCTCTAAAGCTGTTGAACCTGCGGTCCAACTCTGCAGATGGGCTTTGTCAACAGGTTTGTGTAACCTCCACTATTACAAGGCATTGATGTTTCTCTATGATGCTCCATTCCTATAGTAGCTTCGAGAGTTTGGACCTATAGAGCAATGTCATGTTGCAAAGGGGGGACCGCCTATGTCATACATTTAGAATGAACTAGGACATACCTCAACTAGTTTGTTGCTGTGGATATTTAATATAAATCAATTTTTGCTGTGGTTTCTACTTGTTGTTTGACCTCCTTACAACTACGTATAGGATGTTTAGAATTCATCTGTCGCTTTTAACACGCTGGTTGCAATTGTATTTATCGATCTAAAACAAATGGATTCAATCAACTTGGCATGGATACTTGATTAATTGAATTCACATCTTGCTTTAAGTTCTGGAACCAGTCGGCTGACATGCAGATCCTTCTTAAAAATCATTATCACATATTGGTGTTTTGGGGGTGGGGGGTGGGGTGGGGTGATTCCAGGTCCTTAGGATCATATTGTTAATCTGAGAAAAGATTCAAAGTTCAAGATAGATTTCAAGTAATTGGTTTAATCTGTACTCTAGTTCAAGTTCGATCTCTAGTTTTGGAGGGATGCTTTTGCGTCTTACCAAAACTAGCTCCAGTTGTGAAGGCTGATTTAACGAAAAGTAATTCCAGGTCCTTAGGATCATATTTGATAATCTGCAAAATGATTTAAAAAGTGCAGGATAGATTTTAAGTAATTGGTTTGATCTGTACTGTAGTTCAAATTCGATCTCAAGTTTAGGAGGAATGCTTTTGCGTCTTACCAAAACTATTACCAGTTGTGAAGGCTGAATCAATTCTTTGCAGGAAATGGAAATGGAGACAAACTTCCACCGACCAATAAATCTCTTGCAGAGATATTTGCCAGCATTCAACGTAGTAAATTGGGACTTCAGGATTGGAGTCTCACTGATCTTACCATAGGCCTATATCTAATATATCTTCAGCAAGCATCCACCAGTCCTATTGAGGATGTTAAGGGTGAACAGATATACTCTGATTTGATTGTAAATACTAGAACCTTATTAAGCGTTTGGATTCTGAATAAGCCTGCCTTCTCAAAGTTTAACTCTTTCGTATTGCTATTCGTGACTCTAACAAGATAAGCTTTTCTGATTAGGTTCAAGATCTCATCTACCACACTGAACTGGCTAAGGGTTCTTATAAAGATTGCACTGCAGCACTTTCAAGGAATTGTATGCTCCGGGAAAGTAATGTCGTCAAATTCATAAAAAATTCCAGTGTGTTAAGGCCTGGATATTATATAGGAATTGACAAGCGGAAAAAACTTGTAGTTCTTGGGATACGTGGAACTCATACAGTATATGATCTTATAACTGATATTGTTTCTTCAAGTCATGAAGAAATCACACTCGAGGGTTACTCCACTCACTTCGGAACTTCTGAGGCTGCTCGTTGGTTCCTTACTCATGAGATGGGCACCATAAGGAACTGCCTTGAAAAACACAAGGTGGACATCTTTTCATTCGCAATTTGTTTTCTTCACTCTGACTCACCAAGGAGGAAAGAAAAACAAGAAATAAAAATCATGGAGTAGTTTTCATGTGTATGTAAACCACTTTTATATCTCCATTCAGCACGACTAATTCATCCACAGGGATTTAGGTTAAGGCTTGTTGGTCATTCCCTTGGAGGTGCAACAGCTTCGTTGCTGGCTATCATGCTTCGAAATATGTCGGCCCGAGAACTTGGTTTTAGTCCTGATATTGTTTCTGCAGTTGGATATGCTACGCCACCATGTGTTTCTAGAGAACTCGCCGAAAGTTGCTCTGAATATGTCACAACAGTGGTAATGCAGGTCAGTAACTAATCCATACAGACCCTTTTTTTTCTTTTTTTTTCCTTCTCAAGATATTTTAATAATGAATCAACAGCAGAGTACTTTCCTCAGATTTTTGTTTTTATCAACTTTTGCTATGTTTTCCAACTAGGTTCTTATTGAAGTGCATATTGATTGACTGCTGGAATTCCACTGTGTTTTGTGGTGCAGGATGATATAATACCTAGGTTAAGTATCGCCTCTCTCACAAGGCTTAGGAATGAAATTCTTCAAACTAACTGGTAAGCAAATGTAATGTTAAGAGTGGTCCTTGGTTCTTTCTCAATTATTGTGCTGGTGTTGCATTAAACCTGATATCTGTGGCCCTAGATTGCATATAAATGTACTTGCATATCATGCAATTAATAGGTTATATTTCAGTAACTCATTCCTGCTGCTATTTCTTCTCTCTTTCCTTTCAGCATTTATAATTCTAAAAGTTCTAGAACCAACTACTTCTTGCTAGTTGCTATAGTATATGGAAGTCAGAATGACTTTGACTTAAGTATGAACTTCGAGAAACAATTGATGGGGTCTGCAAAATGGTGTTTTGCCTTTTTCCCACCCCTTACAACTCCTTTCTTAGCTTACATAAGGATCTCTAGTTTCCGGATAACCTTAGTCTTCTTTGCAACACCAGCAATTTACTCTCTTGTTCGTTGTAATTTGTCCAGAATTTTTCATGAAAACTGCGATGCAGTAGCTTTTGTTCTCTTTCCTTCTAGTGCTTTGAGGGGTGGATAGTGTGTGTGTTGTGTCAAGTAGTTCAGTGCGTTACATGATGTTAATTGTGAATTATTATTAACCTTACCTTTTAGAAGTTCAAATTGGCACAACTGTCCCATTGTCCATTGATTCTGATATTGCTTCTGCAGTGAATTCTAGCAGCCTAAGTCAATAGGACATGAGGTGGCAGATCTTGGTTGGGGAAGGAAGTGAAGGAGGCTAGGAAATGGAATGAAGAAGCAATAGTGATTTAGTCATCTGAAGTTATAGTTAATGGTATAAGTTTGTGAGATGTAGCTTGCTTGGTTTCGAAATTCACATGTGATGTTACCGGCCAATACCGGAAGTTCTTAAAACCATAGCGAGGTAACATGAACCTTATTTATTATTATAAGCTAGAGAGAGAATGAGAATGAGAATGCTTTGCTACAAAGAGTAGAAAGAAATCAAGGCACAAGGAAGGGCGTAGTAATCGACGAAATGCTCTGGGGAAAGTGCAGAGAGACTTTAAGACCTAGCTTTGCCGTGTGTTGAAATGACAAGTTCTGTTTCTTCTTTCTCTTTTCCTCTTTGTTGGGTTTTATCTTGTACCACCTGTAGGATTTTTGGGGGTCAAAAGTTCACATAGATTAAAAATAAGCATTTTGATGTACGTAACTGAAGAGATATGGAAGGAAAAGTATAAAAATGGATAAACTATTGCAGGGAGATCATATTCACTAACATTTTGTTTTCTTCTTTATCTTGTCTAGGGTGAGTGTTCTTCAGAAGGAAGACTGGAGAGGTGTCGTAGACTTGTTTACAAATGCAAAGCAGGTTGTATCTTCTGTGCAAGATGTAGCTCGGAGACTTGCTGATTATGCTAAATTACGAAGCCAAACTAAGCACTCTGGTATGTTCATGAGCATTGGAATGGCTTGTACTAATTCTACATTTCATTACACTCACAAATCTTTCCTATTTGTCAATTGTCGGGGCCTCTGGGGTATGTGATTCAAGACATCCTTACTTCAATATTTTCAACATACTCAGATGTTAACGTTACCTGTACAGAGTCTACAGTTCCACGTGTTCCTGATACCTCCAACTCCAAAGTCAATACATCATCTCTTGTGAGACAGGAAGGCGAAGCTGAGTTGTTTGTCCCCGGAACTCTTTATATTTTGAAGAGGAATGCAAATGCAAGAAAGGAAGGTAACAGTGTGGAATGTTTCACACTTTGGAAGAGACACTCGGGGGAGCATTTTCAGAGGATACTGCTCTCAAATAACATAATTTCTGCCCACAAGTGTGATAGCCATTATTATGCGTTGAGGGATGTTCTTAAAGGTTTGCCTGGTTCTACCGATGAAGCTGTTTTCTGATGAATAAATTTCACATATTTGCTCTTTTTGTGTAAAACAATGATCTCATCATTCCACGGCTTGTGGGAGGTAGCTAGCTGGTCCCCTTGAGAGTAGTTGAGGTACGTGCAAGCTGACCTTTATCAAAACAAAGAAATAAATAATGGCAATGTTAGTTGATTTACAGGTAGAAACCATTGTCCTTAGAGATAAAAATAGTTGTAATTTTCAGCTTATACTTTTATGTTTTCCTGTAGTACCAGGAAATCTTCCTGTATTTTCATTAGTACTTCTTTTAGAACATGTACTGCTGCTATACAAGCATAGCCAAATGGACAATCAAGCTAATTTTTTTGATGTTTCCTTTCTTATATTTGAAACTGATTGTATTTCTTGTACTGCTATGGATAATGTTAAGATTCAAGTTTAATACTTCTGTTGTATATTTTTCAATTTTATATATTTGTCTAGTGTTTGCAATAGCTACGAAATTTTACACTAGTTTGATATTTGTTCATTATCTTTAGATTCACGGAATATTTCAATATTATTATCTTTATTCCACTAATCAAATGATGCTATGATACCATGATTTCTTGAACATAGAATATTAAGGTTACTTTTTCTGTGTTGTACTGCAAGAGTGGAAGACCAACTAGATGATAAAGTGATGATGTCCTTTATTCTCTTCTAAACTAGTCTGCTAATAGACAAATTTGTCTCCCTGTTTTAATTCACTTTCATCAAAGTGCACTTTTGTATCCCTCTATTTTTTTATTCTTTTTTTTGTTCTTTATTCTTGGTCATTATTGCAACTTTTAGCAAGACCTTTGCCTTTTTAAACTTCAAATTTAATCAACATCATGTACTTAAATGTCGTTTTAGTTTAAGAAATTGTTTTAAAATAATTTCCATTTTAGAAATTTAAAATTAAAGTTGACAACTGTTAACATTAATAAATATGAACAATGTATAAGAGGAAAAATTAATCTACCTTTATCAAACAGTGTACTTTTTATTATTGTTAATGAAAGTGAAAAAAAGCTAAAACGACAATTAAGATGATTTTATTTGATGGTGTGTATAGTACTTGTACTTTTAGAAATCCGTCTTTATCATCTCTAAACTTGTTTAAGAAACTTAATTTGTGTTTTGTAGGAAAAGCAAAAACTTAATCATGTTCCACAGGAGATTGATTTGACGTTTACCAAAAATTTGCTGAGTATTGTTCAGTTTTCATTTGTTTATTACGTTTACCAAAATATATGGCCAATTCAATTCAATTTCTCATTTTTTCGTTTCAATGGTCAAAGCTCTCTCCTATGAAACTAAAGTAATTCTTGAAGAAATCAATGTCTTAAAACGTGTTATATTATATCATCACTATATATAAAAATACGTACATTAATAGAGCTTCTTAGTTCTTGTAATAGATCATATTCATAACCAAACTATAATTTCTTCATTCAAATTTTTTTACAATAAAATCAAGCATGATGTTAACTCAAAGTAATAATTTTTCTTTTCATAATGATCGTATGATGATCATATTATTACAATTTTTTTGCACAATTTGTAGTTGGCTTAGTGGCCAATTCAAAATATCATATCATTATATATTGTAGTTGGCTTATTGGCCGCTCATTGAAAATATCATATCATTATATAAGCAACAGTGTTGTAAATTCTAATAATTATTTTTTAAAATTTATTTCTACATCATTTCATTTATTTTAATTAACATGCATATTATGTAGGGAAATTGTATAAAATAGCAAACTAATAATCTAAATTAAATGGAATAGCTAGGGTTTGATTTAATTGTGCTCTATAGCAAACATTATCTAAAAATTTGCCAGCGTCCAGGAATCTCGCTCGCCACTCTCCATTCTCTCTCGCTTTATATACAGAAGTGTATAATTCTGTTTCTGTTTTGTATAAAGCGAGAGAAAATTGTATATACACATGCAAAAATGTATATCTTCGTGTTATACACTTAATTATACAATTTACAAACATTTTACTTCAAAAATTGCAGAGAAAAAGGCCAACGAATTATATAATTGCGAAGTGTATATATTGTGTTTCTGTTTTTGTATAAAGCGAGAAAAACATATATCTTCTTGCTATACACTTATAATTATGTAATATACATACATTTTAATTCGATTTAACTATATGCAAAGCAAATTATACAATTGCAGCGAAATAGGCCAGCGAATATACAATTTAGGCCAGCGAATTATACACTTGTATATGTATAGCGAATTATACAGTTTTTATGTTTGCTATGGAGCGCAATTATGCAAAGTTTGCTATATTATACAAATATGAACTTTTTGTTTGATATATGTGAAAGTTAACAAGATGCTAATCTATATGAGCTTTGATAGTCAATATATGTTGACAAGTATAAACTGAATTATCTTTAACACGATATATATAGTACTCTTTTAATGTTTCTCTTCTTATCTTTTTGGATGAGGCAATGACTTTTTTATATAGTCATGACTTTTCTATTTATTATATAGATTAACTTGGACCTTACAATCTAATATTACTAATATAACTCCTTTATTTGCAGTTATTATGTCAATATTTAATTATCAATTATACGTTAATTAGGCTCTACTATATATATGCATTCTTTATCGATTTAATTTCAAAATAAATATAACATATAAAAAGTAGTTACAAATTTAAGGCGTAACTTAAGTCGTGACTTTAAAATTGAATTTCGTCCACTTCAAGGTAATTAATCAATTCTTGATAAGTTTAGACAATTTATATAAAGGCGAGTAATGACTTTCATTTTATGAATTTATTGTTTTTCAATTTTTAAGTTGATCAGACATAAGCAAATACAATTACAATTAATCATAATTGTATTTGCTTATCATTTGTAATAATCTAATATTCTTATTCACAACGATATATCAAAAGGACATCATGAAGCTTATAATAAATTTGTTGATATTCTGGATAACAGAAACAATATTGACTAATCATCGCTTTATTTTATGATATTTGAAATATATATTTACATGATGAGACATTTTCTTGCTGCAAATTTTCAGATATTGTGCAACCAATTATTAACCTTATAGATGATATATACTTAATATGTTAAAACTATTTAAAGTATAACCAATGCGAATTTAATTACAAGAAAGGCCTCATTCGTAAAAATTAATCCGTAAGGTTTCACTTTTTTATTTTATGTAAATTAAATATTTACATTAATTAAGAAAATAGAAAAGATTGATTTTTCCTTTCATAGATTTTATTGATAATGAGTAAAAGTTTTCCTTTAAAAAAACTTTGACTTAAGCTAGCCTAGAGCTAATTAAATTTGTTGATGATCATTTTACAAAAGTTGCAGGCGATCAAGGGGACATTTTGTCTGAGAATTCGAGTACATGGGCTTATCATGATTACGAGTTATTAAACTTGTAAATACTACTTAAATTAATCACAACTTTCACCCTAGGTAACTAGTGGAAAAATTGATTTAGTAGGCAGGGGCGAACCCACGTTGGGTCCAGGGTATTCATCTGAACACCCTTGGCAAAAAGATATATGATATATATAAGGTAAATTTTCTATATTTCTGTAGATGTATATATTTTGAACGCTTTCAATAACAAATAAAAATAGATGGTTCAATGGTAAGACTCTTGAATATTAAGTTGCACGCCCAATGTTCAAATCTTTGCAACAACATTTATTTGTTTTCCTTTATAGTTTTAGTCTATTTTTATTTAAAAAAATCAGTTACGTTTTTCAAGCATTTTTTAATTTAAAAATGTGCCAAAAGTGTGGTTTTAAATCCAAAAAAATTCAAAGAGCCCATATTTACATATTTATATTTTTATTTTTCGAACCTCCTGAACAAAAATCTTGAATCCGCCACTGGTAGTAGACACTTCTCACCTCCAATGTGTGCTTGCCTTCAAAATCATAATCATGAAGTGTTGCTAAATGATATTATTGTCCACGTTTTCTTGAGTGTCCATTACATCTTAGCTTAAAATATGTCTATTATAATAAGTGATTAGCTGATGTACGCAATGGATATTTAACAATATATATGCATAAAAGATTTTTGAAAATTTGATTTTGAGAGTATTTAATAGAAATTTTGTTATGTGCTCTAGTAATTAAAAAACTAACGATATTCAGCTTGCAAAATCCAGATCATTACTAATTAGGCCTCGCTTTCACATTTTGAGTCAAATCTTTCAAAGTGGAAAATGCCTATTTTAGGCTTTGGTAACATCAAACATGAGATAGAAGAACAAATGTCTTCTTCTCTTTGTTTTGCCTTACACCCTACACCTATATGTCTATATACAAATGAAATAACTAATATAAGAGAGAAATCGCCCTAAGTAACTTTACTATTCAGATTAACGACTTCATTAAACATCTATTATTCAATTTGTCATGAGTACAATTAGTACTGTTATCGAGTAACTTTATCCATTAAACAAAAAAAAAGGCTCAATTAAACCATATACTAAAAAGCCAATGCTTGAAGTTTACCCAAGCTTGTTTACTAACTAGCTACTAGTATTATAAGGTTGATACAAAAAATGGTCTAGGCTTTGTATATCTTGCATATTCATTATCCCATGGCCATCACTATAATGATCAACAGATTCCATTGAGCTACTTTGTGGTGATGAGTTGGACTTGAGATTAATATAATTTGGATAATTAGCTGGAAAGGATGAACTTGTCATTTGTCCACTTGATGATGTCATATTAATATTGTTGTTAATCCATTGAGGATTATAACAATTGTTTGAATTCATTAAGCTTTGTGCTAACTGCCCTTTCACTTGCATCAATTGAGATTGTAAATAAGCTACCTGACAAATATATCCAAAACAATAAAAATCATTTTCACAAATCATAATTGGAGCATTTTGTGTTTATCCATGCAGGCATTTTTGTTTATGTAAATGATGGTAAAAAGTTAAAAATAAAAGCAAACCACATGAACTAGTTGTCATATATATACTTTTAAGGTGTATTGTTTTAGCTGGTAATTAAAATATTTTTACAGATTAGAGTGTTTTTTAACTTATTATAGCATGTAATAAATAAGTTGACTAGATTACTAATTCCTAACTTTTTTTAATACACTATTAAACATTAGTTGAAGTTAATTAAGCTACTTCCTAATTAGTTACTCATTCCATTTTTTACGGTTGTTAATGTTACATCTTTTAGGTGCCATAATAATGTCAAAAGTTCTTTCAATTTTTGAACTATCATTTTTAAAAAATCCAAATTATTACCATTTATGTACTAAAAAGCACACCTCAACCATCATTTTTTTTTTGCTTTCCCTACATAAATTATGGTGATAGTTCAAGGAAAGACAAACGATAGTAGTTTTAATGCATCGATGATGATAATCCATCATTCAGGTTAAAAAAAATTAAAGAAAAGAAAACAACTGATTGTGTAATCATCATAGATGTGATAATTGAGGTAGGAAGTGAAACTCGTGAAAAAGTAATTTAAAGTAGATATATACCTGTTGTTGTAAAGCAAAGATGTTGGCAACACAACCATAGACAGGATCTTTAATCCTAGCTTGTGCTTCATAAGAAATAGTTACAACAGCATCACAACGATCATCTGTAGGTACATTATGCAATAATTTAGACACATTACTTGCTCCAAACACTTTATGAATTGCAGCAAATTTTGAAGGTCCTTCTTCTGAGTTAAAATAAGGTGCAAATATACAATCCACAGCACATTTTCTCCTTAGAAATTTACATGCACCACATGGTGATCCACTACTTGCCATACCCAAATTAAATGTGAAAATTAGAACCTTATTATAAAGTTGAAAAAATATTAATGGGGTGCACGAATACACTAGGAAATGATGGAGAAATGAAATGTAAAGTGAAGAAAGTTTTTAATTTATACAAGTGTGAAAGAGGAGACATGGAAGGTCTATGTGTAGGGATTTAAGGGGACAATTATTAATGGCTTATGCCATAGTCAACAATGTCTATTTTTATATTCTTCTATTTTTGTACTTACTATATACATATATACATATATGATTGCTTTTTTAACTCCTTAGTATATTACTTCCAACTAGTGAAGAAGATAAAGCCTTTTTAAAATATTTCCTATAAAGAATTTTTTTTACACGAAAATTCTGATCAAATATTATACTTCTTGTTGTTTGTTTACCAAATTTGTTAAAACTATGCAATAATCATCCTTGATTTATAACGATTTTTATTATAATATAAAAGTATTTACACTGTCGCTATTATTAATTTCTTAGTTATATCTAATTTTAAAAATTTATTTTGAAAAATATTTCATTTTAAATTTAGTTGAAGGGTGGCGGGGCCAAAGTAATTTGTCATATTGTATAATTGAACGGTTACGTTTTATTTTAAAAGGACTCCAAATAATTTGTCCATCTCTATTTCTTAAATATTTTCCCCGCCGATCGCCGCACCTGGGAACTGCTGCTTCTTTTTTTCTTTCCCATATTATATACTATATACTTTCTCGAATTTTATTGTTATTATTTTATTTGTTTTGTATTATTTGATTTCATGATATTTTAAAATAAAAATTTAATTACAACTATCTTACGTAGTTGTTCAATAGTAAAAGTGATATAGACGAGAAAAATCCTCTTAATTTAGTAGAACAAAATATTCATTTTTAATATAAGCTAGTGTTTGATTATAGATTTTTAAATATTTTTAGCAAATATTATTTGAATGAAATTTCACTATGTGTTTGGTCATAACATTTGGAAAATATATTTCATTCTTTTAGAAAAATATGATTTATATCCATTAGTTTAGAAAATATCAAAACTAACCATAAATTTGTATTATACAAGTCAATTGGATCTATGTTATAACATAACAAATAATGTCCATGACACTGAGCAATGTGATAACTTGGAGTGATTGCAACAAATATCATATCATACATCGTGAAATAGACAAAACACATGGCTTTGTTATCTTGAGCCGATTATTAATCATTTTCATCAATAACCATATTATTATTTAACATTCACAAAATATTTCATCACCACTTTGGAATTAATGTAAAAAATTATGTTATACAACGTAAGCAACAATTATAAAGGGTGTTTTTTAAAAAAAATAAAAGTTTAGGGTAGAATTTTAATTTTTAAAAGATCCCAAATAATGAGATTTGATTCAAATACTAAAAAATTTAATATTTAAAAATTTAGAATATTTGCCAAAAATATTTGTCAAATAATGACAAAATATATGAACAAACACTATTTATCAAACTTTTTCTCAAATATTATTTGAAAAATCTATGACCAGCGGGCCCTAAGAATCAATTAAAATGACATTGAGGGAGTACTACTCTTTTTGTAGCTAATGAAACGTGGAAATAAACTTACCGACAACTTTATTTGACTTTAAATATTCTCATTTTGTTCATATGATAGTTTTAATTATTTTAAATATATGGTTTAGAGGTCAAATATGGAGTAACGTATTATTTTTAATCTCTTCATTCCTTCGAGAAGAAGAGAAGCAATATTATATATAGTCTCCTCATTAAATTGAAGTTTGATATAAAAAGGGAACACATGGTCCTTTTTGGCGATACATTTATTTACTACTACTCCATCAACCATTACTACTACTATAAATTGTATGTTTTTTTTAATTTTATACTAGCAGCTCAATAAATTAGTATGTAATATATAAATGCAAAAATTACATGAATTAGTATATTTTAATAAATAAATATTTTTTAACGATATTTTTTATTTATTACTATTTATAGCAATACTATATTAAATTTGCAACATAAATTAAAAGTAAATTGTGTATGCAATATATGTGAATTATAATTGTTTTTTTTGAAATATATTATGTTTGTTTGGTAAAAATTTGACACATTGTATTGTAAGTGTATAAAAATGTGTAATAAATGTATTATCCATCATTAAAACTTGTATTATATGTGAATAATAAATTGTTCTTTGTAATATGTATTAAACTTGTATTCTAAATGAATTAAAAGTAATCAAGTGAACCTTTTTTTTAGTTATAAATGATATTTTTATTATAGTATATTCATGTAAGTTTCCCCAATATAAATTGTGTATAATCTAATCAGTGCGATAGATCATATTTACACTGATTATGTAGGCGCAACAATTACAATACGGGTTAATTTAGATGGGCCTATTGTTGGACAGATTCAGGACCGGCCCATTAATTTGGGGATATTGTCGGAAAGATCCAGGATCGGCCCATTAACATATTGGGCCTATTGGGCTTGGTTTTAAAAAGCAAAAAAAATTGTGCACCAGCCGGGAATCGAACCCGGGTCTGTACCGTGGCAGGGTACTATTCTACCACTAGACCACTGGTGCTAGTTGTTTAGGTTCCTCAGTTAATGAATTATTAACTTAAATAACAATTATAAGTGTGTATCCTTTCGTGTTTTATGTAAGTTTTTCGAAATAATTATACTTTCTCCGTTCCAAAAAGAATGACCTCCTTTCCTTTTTAGTTTGTTTAAAAAAGAATGACCTCTTTTTTTTTTTTTTGTAACAACTTTCCACGTCGCATGTTTAAAGCCATAAGATTAAAGGACAATTTTGTACAATTGATATAACTTTAATTTAGGACCATATGATTAAAAGTCCTCTTTATTTTTTTAAACTTCGTGCCAAGTCAAACTAGATGACGGAGAGACTAGTAATTTTCTTTAGTAAGTAATTGTAGATCAAAAGAAGGTACTTCTCGATCAGATATAGAAAACTTATTACTAGAGAAGATAGAGAGAGTGAAGAAGAAGTCAGGAAAGTATAACAATTTTGTGTGTATGTGCTATACAAAAATGTAGATCAACAAACGTTATCTAAACTAATTAATTAGTTTGCAAGCGTACGTTCAACCTCATCTATATATTCACTCATTATCTTTAGAGTTACTATATGAAAAAGAAAATATCACACTCCAAATTCACTAATTATAGTATAACATATATAGATTAATAGTTTAGTTAGGTCAGAAGAATATATGAAATGGCTTAAATTTGATAGTTAAGATATTGATCACATTTTGATGTTATTTTTTTGAACCACTACAACATTTTAAGGGTCTCACAGTTCATTCCCTCAAATTTTAAACCAAAAAGGTGCCAAATAATTGATTAATCTTGAAATTATATTAGGACCTTTTAACTTTCTATTTCATTTTATGCAATAATGAAAGCACCATAAAAATACGAAAATGATGCTTTTGCTCAAGACCATACTACTAAAACAATAACTCAACCTCAAATCCTCGACTATATGAATCTTCATTGGTTCCATTCAATTAAGCCAGTCTCCGTTTAATTTGGGAATATTATTGAGAAATAATAAAAACAATTATCCCCTTTTTGAATCTATATACATATTAGTACATACTATTATTTCAAAGGATGATGACCAAGTCTAAGTTCCAAATCCAAATCATTTTCTTGACTCTTCTTTTGATCCATAGTTTCTATCACATGATCATGTGTAGCTGCAGTACCAAAATGTTGAAAGCCCCAATCATCTCCAAATAAATTTAGGCATTGAATATTGTTATAATCATCATGATGAGAACTATTAATACTTCTATTTTGATTCAAACAAATCTCATGTCCATTTGTGGAGGTAGATGTAGATGCTGGAAAATATATTACATAATTTGATTGTGACTCTGTCACATTGTAACATCTAAGATTAGCACCTGCAGAGGCGGATTTATAGTGTTAGAAGGTACGTAGATTCAATTGAACTCATCAATTTTAACTTAATTAGACCACGTCCACATTATAATACAAGGGCAAATGTAATTCAAAGACAATAGGTTCAACTGAATCAGTATTTTAAAAAACATATATATATATATATATATATATAAGCAAAAAATACTGAAATTCCAAACAAATATTACTTGATCTTTTGTTGCATAGGTGAACCTATATAGTGTTGATAAAAGTAGATTCAATTGACTCATCATTTGTTCAAACTGAACCAATATTTTCAAAAACATAAATATATACAAGTTGGAAATTCCAACAAGTATATATATATATATATATATATATAGATACTTGATTTTTGAATAATAACTTAGAAAAGTATAGTATGTTCGGTACTAAGAACTTTTAGGGTTGAATCTTAATATATACACACATATAAAATTGTATCAACTAAACACTCTTCATCAGAAA